AGAAGAAACAAGTGCTATCACCTAGGTACCTAAGAGAGGAGAAAAGCAAAAGCCAGAACCATGTGGAGCGCCAAACACTGCTCTGTAATACTGCATTTGCCTTCTCTAGGTTAATTATGCTTCATGTTCCCTGCCCAGGCAGGCACATCTCCTCTGTTTGTAGGTGTCTATCAGAGAGTTGGCACCCTTTTAACTAAGCGGTACAAGCCATGCATCTAAAATAAGTCATGCTGTTTTATGATAGCTGGTAAAAATAAAGCCTTACTAGCACACACAGCTATAACAGCACAGAGGATTTACGACTGAGTGGGTTTTTTCCAGGGTGGGCTGGCCACAGTCCGATGATGGCCTTTTTATAACCGTTATCAGCTCCCACACAGACCAGGTCCATCTGTTACTTAATTTGAACAGAGACACTCTTAAGCTTTTGTTTGCTAGTCTCTCACTGAACATCTACATTGTTCTCTAGCAGGGCAGCCCACCCGTGAGTCAAGCTTGGCTGGCTGATCTCGGGAAGGCGCCATGGAAAACTGGAATAAAAGAAAGGCACGCAGCTCGCTCTGGTCACTTGACCAGCATGGTCCACCTGCCTGCTCCCTTGCACCAGCTTGAAGGGGCTTTTAGCCTGCAACTTGGATGCCAGAGCAAACAGACGGCCAGCTCCTTGGTCTGGAGGCGAGGGTTGAAAGTTAAGACCAAGTACTACAAAGCAAAATCCTACTGACTGCATCTAATGGCATAGGCTGGGTTTTTCAAACAGACCTATATGAACTGTCACTTAGAAAGTTAGTGAGACACCTAAAAATGTAAATGAGGATCAATAGGATGCCTAATTCCCATTGACATTCAAGAAGAATGAGGTATGCCATTCACTCCCTGCCCACACATTTATGCACCCTTTCTAAATCCAGTCTTTATATATCACAAGTGCATTTAAGTCCCTTAAACTATTCCCAAAACCCCAGCCAAGGAACAGTGGGACAAAAAAAACCCCAAAAACTTACCAGAACCAGAGTGGGTTAGGCATTTTTTGGTATCTCATTCTTACGCCATACCGTGTTGCCTATCCTACACCACCTTGTCTCCACTGGCACAAGCTGCATTGTGGAATCGCAGTGAGATGCACTGGGGAGAGAGACGAGGAAGGATAAAGAGCCTGAAGCACTGAGAGACAAAAGGATGGGTATTTCAAGGTGCAGATGGTCAGATGTTTCTGAAAGTTAGGGCTTATGGCGATTTCCTCAAAATAAGCTGAGGGCAGAAACCTGGCCTCCCTCTTCCTTGTCTTATCCAGTCCAGCACTGCGTGGCTTCCTCTGCTCTTCCTCTGGAGGTTTCTCACACATTTAACAGTTAGCTTCCTCCCTACCGCATACACACAACGCTTCTAAGGCAGGGACAGTCCTGGGGTCAGCTGGGCTGCCCTTAACAGCAATGCTTGTCTCCTGCCTGCTGCTCTGATCATCTCTGCTCTCATCCTTCTCACCGTTTCTTTCACTGCAGCTCGCAGTACTGAGGATGGATGCTCTAGGGGCATCTCCAAACGGGCAGTCATAAATGTGCTGACGTGCAGAGGGCTCAGCTAACAAGTTTCTAACACCTAACAATATATCACTCACTCAGTAGCACTCCTGCTACACAGAGTAACCATCCAGAAAGTGAAGATGCTTAAGAAGGCATGTGGTTTATAGCAGCATTCCCACATGGCTTAGCTGCATTTTGAATTGCAAATCAAGCAACGGCTTAGTGATGATGGACACCTCAAGCAAGGCATATTTTTGTTGCTTTAGTGGGCAGGTGTTTAAATACAGTTGCATGTTTTTGTACTGCTTGTGCCTGACAGTGCATTAACTAAAATTACCGTATCAGATAACTGCAATATCGGCAAAGAAGCATTGAACGATACTGCAGCATAGACTGTTGGCAGCAATTTATTTCAACTGTTTCCTGGTCATCCTTTTTACCTTGCCTGTAATACTTTAGGAACACTTCACCTCCTCTTCAAATTTCTGCCTAGATTTTTTAAACAGAGAAGAGATTGGGATGGAAGGAGATGGAAGGTCAGGCTTTACCTTAAACCCGGTACAGAGATAGATTTAACACAGTCTAGTTGTCTGTAAAGCTGCTAGGTTTTTTTCTGAGACTATAGTTTCAGTGTAGCATTTTAAAATGATTCAGATAACATGAGTCACAGTAACAAGCATGGGCTGGATCTCTTTAGCTGAAAGAAGTGCCATAAGAATATGCTATAGACTTCACTCCCTTGTCCTGGATTCTATTTTGGAGAACTGATGGCATTTGGGATTCAACCATATGTCTGGCTGAGTCTGTAGCACATACAGATCTGGTGGGTATTCGGAGATGCAGCACATACAGATCTGGTAAGTGCGTCTGTTGTGGCATGCATGCTGCTCTGGAAAGGAATGCACGTCTGTGCCCGGCCGTTCCCCAGATCCTGGGTGCTGAGGCCTTTGAAGTGAGATTTACATAACACAAAACCTTTGCTGCTTATTTGCACTGGGCTGAAAGAGGTCTAAAGGAACATCTTTGGAATACTCTTTTTAAAAGGTGGCAGTCACCACTAATGATGATTTAACACGCAAAACAAAGCAACCCCTAAGTGCGGTCACCAAAGAGACAACACTTGCCAACAGCAGGGAAATGTGACATAGCACAAATGCCCAGGCTCCTTCAACAGGAGAGTGCTAACAGCTGGGAAGCACTGGCTTGGGGCAGATTCGTCCGGCCCCATGGAGACTGGTGAACAAGGGATACCCCAAAGTAATGCTAAGAAGAGCTGTAACAGTGTTCTGCTCCTGCTTTGCAACTGCGTGGTCTCTTGGGGTTTTTGTTTTGTTGTGCTCCCTGCATAGCTGTAGCCTTCTCGTTACTTAGAACATGCTACTTGCAGTACTCTTCTGCCACACACGGAATAAATCTGTCTTAGCGGTGATTTAAGCAGCCACATTGATCTCTACCCACAGTCAGTACATGTAATAATGTCAGAACCTCTCACAGTCTCCAAGGACTCAGCTTCTGTCTGAAATTTGTTGTCATCCTGCTTTGTGCCTGAGGGATAGACCTAGATCTCTTGTGTTTAGTGGGTGGGAAAAAGCCTGCTGTGAACAATTTCCGAGAAATGAGATGGGGCCAGAGTTTGATGGAGTCCCACTGTCTTGGAGTGGAATAATTCTAGAGTCATAACTCCTTTGGAGTAACACAACATTGTGGTATTACTGTCTCCACCTTCAACTGAGCTTGTATTTTAGCTACAGTAGATGTACTTCAGTAGGACTGTTACCATGCTATCTACTTGATGGGACACAATTTTTCTGAAAAAAGATCTCGTGTAAACAGGAACACATAACAAAAAACAAACCGGTGCATCAAGTTTCCTTCAAGGAACGAGAAACCTTTGCCATGTGCCTTTCCCTCCCCATCTTTCTCTAGCATTTCCAAAAGGAAGATTTATAGGATAGTACAGACCAGATAGATGCTGTGCAAGCTGTCCTCTTCAGGTACTCTCTATAGCCATCTGCTACGTCAGGTCTCGGAAGAAAGCTATCATGTGTAGAAGTGTCTTTGTAATGCAGTTCCCCAATGAAGGAGGGTGCTGCCTCTGAAGCTTCCCCCCTTTTGAAAACTGAGCCAAACGCATTATCAGAGCCACCTGTCCTAAGCAGGAAGCCAACCAGGATCTCCATAGTTAAGCTGAGTGCTCAGGCCTGGGCCCTCAAGAAAAGCTCTCTTGGTTCCAGCAGCAATCAAATGTCTTGTTTGTATGAAGTGCCCTACAGTATTGTTGAAAAGGCGTCCAAAGATTTCAAAAAGATTTTCCCATGATTGTTTCTTGTCCTCTGGTGACTAGCTACTTCTGATGCTCTGGGGTTTTGCTGGGGTCAGTGGAATCTGTTTATGCTCACGAAGGAGCAAAGCAAGGATCACAACCCCAGACAGAACACCTGAGAGGATCAAAGGATGAACAGAGGGAAAGGAACGTGTCAGCGTCTTGTGGCGTAACTACCTTTTTTCAAGGGGTAGGTCTGGAAGCGCCAGGCCTGATGAAAATGGACTCTGCTTCATAGCAGCCCTGAACAAATTACTCGTGGTTGCTTAGAGCACTTCCTGACTGAAACGAAGCAAGCCCGGAGCACCTGCTTTGACCTGCTGAGAACCAGCTCTGAAAATGGCATTCTCCTGGCTCCCCGAAGTAAAGCACGAGCAGACTGAAAGCAAAGTGCTCGCTGCACTGCCCTGCTACTCATTTCAGCTCTGATACACAAGAATTCTCCCAAATAGCTACATTATAGTCCAGAGCACTGTCATCTTAGTTCAATATTGGGTTTCTCCCAAATGCCGCATGAATGTCTCAAGTGCAGAAGGGGGAAGGGTGGAAAGGTCCTGCCAAGAGCAGTTTTGGCTGGGCCAACTATTAGTTTGCATCAGCCGGTGGCTTTTATGTGAGTAACAATTATTTTGTACACAAAGGCAGCTTCTAAACCTTGCCAAACTCCAGCTCTCCCCAGTGGTCTTTGGGGTATAAGCACCGAGAGCCAAGGCACCGAGGACGGCGTCAGCATTTAACGAACAATGAGGGATAAGAATCGGCAGGGAACATTTCAAAAATGCTGAAAGGATTTTAGGTGTTGAGCTTTCAGTGGGAGGGCCTTCGCAGCCCTCGGGTGTTTCTCAGACCGCTGGCTTGCTCTGTTACGCTGTCTGATCCACTCCACCAGAGGATTTTCGCCTCTGCATTGTCAGATTGTCTCTGTCCAAAAGCTTTCCACCCTGAAGGCCAGCACACAGGAATTTCCAGCTGTCCGTCATGATGCTGAAGATCCTTTCTTTCTTCGCATCTCCCTTCTGCTGCCTTTTCTGCTTTCTCTTCAGGTTTGTTAGGAGTTTTTTACTCCAAGTAAAACAGTCTTAACCTTTAGATACATCTCTTCTCATGTCACTGAGGCACTGGTTTCCTCCATCTTTAACTTACTGTTTGATCGAATGCCCGGTGAAGCCAGTGGGCATGCTCCCCTAGATTTCAACAAACTTCTGATTGGATTTGGAACAGCAAAGTTGCATGTGGGGCCATGGCATCCCCCTGTAGCTGATTATCTGGCACCGATTATAGTATGTATTCTCCTCCTGTAAGACAGGGCTTTGGAGCAGCCTGTTTTTTGCAGAATACCATAGTCTGACCGAGAGGTGATGGGCTTTGCAACAACCAGAACACCCGGTTCCAAAATATCCTCTATGATGAAGGCATGGCTTGCCTCTGCTGTCTGATTCACTTTCTTCCTACTGCACCGTGCTAGAAACTGCCTGCTTGTTTCCTTCTCCCCCAGGAGAGCTGTTGTGAGGGTGGCTATCCAGTAGCGCGTGAATGTTGTTGGTACCTGCTCCGGTGAAATGCACAGCAGAAGAGAGGCGGAAGGCAGATTTTTCAAAAGAAAATAATACGCGAAAGATGGAAAATTACTGTATTAATTGGAAACATTTGCTCAGAGCAAGAAGTACAGTAAAGGGAAATAGCTTGTGGTATAAGGATGTCTTGCAGCATTGCATGATTGAGCTTTTGTCCCAGTGTCAGTCTGGCTGGGACTCTACCAGAGCTGAACTCCTCTGTTTTCTACTGAATCGCAGTCCTTTTATGATGGCCTTGCATTTTACATTACCACGCTGAGTCTTAGAATACTTGAAGATGTAATCAGCATATGTTAGAGGCCTGGCACATTTCATCTTCTAGGAACTGACCGGAACTCTTGAGGTTGGTCTTCTTCCTGTCTTTTCCTGATCGTCAAATTAATTTGCAAAATAATACATTCACTCTTGCATTGTCAGAGTAAGAGTTCATTTACCACCTAAATAAGCATAAGGCACAAGGAAACAGCTTGTGCTGGCACTGGTTTTGTGCTGTTATGTTAATCCTCCTCTTTAATTGCTACTTCTAACAATTACATTTTCCTGTGTTTACACCACAACTCCTAAATAAACTTAGGCCTGCTGGACCGGCATTAGAGGCCAGGAATAGGTTTTATCTAGGGAAGTTAGTCCTTGTAGCTGGCTAAGATTTCTCAGCAGGCAGCGTGTTTCTAGTTGGGTGACTTATGAGCTGTGCTATTTCTTAGTACCTTCTGTTTGTTTTTCCAGGCTGCAGACTCTTGGCTGTGGAACTGACATCCAGCAACACCAAGCCCGTGGTGCAGGAATTCCAGAGTGAGTGCTGCGGGGGCCCGCTGGCTGCCTGACACGCTGGCTGCACTGCCCTCTGCCTGGGGATTTGCATCAGTCCAAACAATTGAGAAAAATTTTGCTTATTGCTCATGGTATCTGGTTTCTTGGGGGAGGCAGGACAACCCAGAGCCTGAGATTCAGAAAAGCGCTTAAGAATATGTCCATATCTCTCCCTGTTTAGCAAAGCATTTGATTGAAATGGTTTATTGAAGTCCCCTGCAAGCCATTGGCATCGCAAAGTGTCTGCCTAAGTGCTTTTTTGAACTGGATCCCAAAAGGAGGAAAGGCAGTAGCCTTGCAATTAATATACTGAAAAGGGGGTTGGGAAATTTATATTTTATCTTGGACCTACTACAGATGTGCAATGCGATACTGGGTAAGCCACCTCTCAACCCTGCTGCGATGCCTTCTTCTGTAGAGGAGGTGGAGATAACAATGCCTACTTCAAAGGGGAGTGGGTTTGCTGAATTTATCCCCAGGCATCATGGTACATTACCAGACACCACCCAGGGAGACTCTGCATCCCTGACTCACATTGTAGGCTCTGATTAGCAGCAAGACAGTGCTGTGGACTCACCCTGTCATAAGGTCTTGTTTGCCATAAGTCAGAGCCTGTAGAGAACAGTGTGTTCATTTCTCTCCGTAGTTAATATCTCTTCGGCTATTATTTTTGCTGGCCAAAGTCCATCTTCCCCAATAGCTCCTGGAACCCAGCAGTGTTTCTGTTTGTGAGGCGGATGAAAGAGAAGGCTTTGCTTTGTGGGCAGCATCTCCTAATAAAACACTGTGCAAGACCGCTTAAAGCAGAGCAAAAATACAGCTGCTTCCTATTAATCTGTATTTCCTTTATTTCTCCTGCTAGGTGTTGAGCTGTCCTGCATCATTAAATCCACCGTAACACCAGATCCCAGAATCGAGTGGAAGAAAATCCGAGATGGCGAAACCTCTTACGTATTTTTTGACAATAAAATGCAGGGTATGAGGATTCATTGTTCTTAGACTTGCAAAACAGCCTCCGAAACAATACAACTGAGAACAAACAAGTCTGTAAAAAGCAGGACCTCTGGCTGTCTTGCTGTTTTCTTCTGGAACTAGAGTTTAGCAGTCGAAGTGCAAGGTGGAGAGAGAGCAGGATGTTCTTTGCTCTCTGCCCTCATTATTGACAGTTCACAGTAGGGAGCCACAAAGAGCTGGAGTGAGATCCTCTGTAGGAGATATTTCGTGAGTAGGAAAGCAAATGCTACAGCTTCCCTTCTCCAGCACCCGTTGGTCCTCGCTGGAAGTCGCTGGGTGTCTGAGCTCTCGGGACCAGACACTGACTCCTCCTGTCTTTCCATATGAAATCTGAGGGCTCCACCTGCACTTCAGAAGGGATCTCTTGAGCTGTCAGTGCTTACTGCTGAGGCAGCACGGTGCTTTGCAACATCCTGGGAGCACGTGATTAGAAGCAGACACTTTGGCTTGACGGTGAAACTCAAACACGGGACTGCCGGTAGGGCTTGCTTCCCATCTGGAATTACTCCAACACTTTAGATGGGACCAACAGCCACATCCAAATGAATCTTCCAAAGGAGACAAGACCTGAGGCTGTCTTGGAAGTCCAATTTTGCCACAGTTTTTGAAATTTGAGATGGTCCTTTCCAGTTCATCCTCTTACATGGTTAGCAGCGTTGGTTTCCTTTGTGGTTAGCAGCGTTGGTTTCCTTTGTGGTCACTGGTGAGAGGAAGGCTCTTAACTTTAGAGCATGGAGTTCCTTTCAGGTGGTTCTCTTGACTCCAGAAAGAGTCCAAGATCAACCTTAATTCAGGTGCCGAAAGTTAGTCTGTGTGACTACCCTGAAATTCTTCTCTCTTTTTCCTCTGTATCAGGAGACTTTGTGACTCGTGCAGAAATTCTGAGCCGGACATCGCTGGTGATTAAAAACACCACCCGGATGGACACTGCCACGTACCGCTGCGAAGTGGCAGCACCTTCTGATACTAAAACCATAGATGAGATTAATATCCAGCTTACAGTCCAAGGTATTACTTTAAACTCAGATACCTCTGCAAGCACTGCTAGCTAACAGAAGAGGCTGTGAGTCTCTCCAGGGTTGAAACAGGGGCACTCAAGAGACTCGAATTTGTCGTTTAAAAACAGCTGGAAATAGTGGAAAGTTTTGATGCCTTTGTAGCATAGCCATCTTAGAAAGTATGTCAGAAATTATTTAATTCCACTCAGCAGTGCCGTTCACACGATTTCTGTCTTTCCCACAGTGAAACCTATGACTCCTAGATGCACTGTGCCTAAAGCCGTACCTGTTGGCAAGACAGCCTCTCTTCACTGCCACGAGAATGAAGGTTACCCAAAGTCCACTTACAGCTGGTACCGCAACAGTGAACCTTTATCACCAGACACAAAATCAAATGCCAAATTCCAGAATTCCTCCTACACCTTGAACCCCACCACAGGCACTCTGGTAATGCCCTTACAGACATAATCAAGACTTGTTTCGCTGGACAGGTTATTTCTAAGGTCACTTCTAAAAGAAAAAAGTCATTGCGTGGCTTTCAAGGAAGGTATAATTTGAAGAAGGTTAGGTGTTCTAGGATCTGGATGACTTGGGAAAGGGAAGATTAATGATGGAAGAAGATAGTACCCTAGCTGTTTGGTTTTGATCACTGCCAATACCACATGCCTTTTCAGAAAGAGGGAAGGGAGATGTCTCACAGTCCACGGTGAAGCCTGGGCAACGGAGAGTTGCTTATATGTGCTTATACCCTCACAGTGCCTTCTGTCTCACATCCCGCTCCCCCCGCTTTTCTCCTCACCAGGTTTTCCATGCCGTGCACAAAGGCGACACAGGCCGTTACTCCTGCATAGCAACAAACGATGCTGGCTTTGCCAAGTGTGAGGAGCAGGAGATGGAAGTCTGTGAGTGGCTCTACATACTTTTCATCCATGCTGATTAATATATCACCATAAATAGTCATCACCATATGGAAAGAAGGGGGACATCCTAGAGCATTAAGTCTTTCCTGCTTTCCCATAGCCCCAAACACAGGAAGAAAAAAAAAAAAATCTAAAAATTCAGGGAAACATTAAAACACTGTTCAGATTCATGAACAGTTTTAATCTTGGAATCAGGGACTCGCTAGTTCCCTATGAATTATTGGGATTTGCTTAAAATAGTTGAGAGATGTCATTTTAGTGTATATAAAGCTACAATATTGGTACTGCCTTAAAGAAATACTGGATGATGGCTTCTCTCTTTGCCAGATGACCTCAATATTGGTGGGATAATTGGTGGAGTCCTGGTGGTCCTAGCAGTTTTGGTGCTCATCACTCTTGGTATCTGCTGCGCCTACAGAAGGGGTTACTTTGCAAATAGCAAAGAGAGTGGGGAAAGGTAAGCTGGGATTCAAAGTGTTCTTATACAAGTCCCTGCGCCCACAGCTAGCATGAAGTAGTCTGAAGGGCGCCAGAAATTCGTGGCTAAAATGTATTTCCATGCCTGACTTGGACATATTTCTTCCTAGTTCCCTACCAAAGATGACAGGCCCACCCAGTTCTTGGGGTATCCAATTCCCCACTGTAAACCCTGCACCTTGCCGGAGGTTTATTTGCCTAAGGGAGAATTTTGGTATGGCTCCTCTTGTGCTTGCTACCAAGACCAGACAGAGGAGTGAAAGCTGTGCTTTGATATCTTCATACTTTGCACGGGAAGGGGAGACCAGCACAATTAAATGCCTACAGGTGTTTGTCCAATAGGTTATGTGCTGTTGGCATAACGAGGTCTACAATTTAATGAACAGAGCTCACTGCATGATTAGTTTAAAGCATCAGGACATGCATAGAAAATATATGCATAGAAGAGTAGGCTCTCTGCAGGAAATCTCACTAGTTGTGAGAACCTAATTTGGGATTAAAACCAGCCATTTTAGAACGCACATTAAAACGTTAAAAACAACAGCATTAGCATCAGAAACAAGCCTTGATATCCTTACAGAATCTGTAGAAGAGATAATATATGTAAAACTAAGATTCTCACCAGACAGATTTGTTCCATGTTAAGTATTGCTTTTCAGCAGAAGTCCTGTCCTTTTTTGTTTGGTTTGGTTTTCAGAAAAAGCTCCAAATATCCTATTTAAATGCAGCTGAGGGTTGGTATACACTGGACTTGACAGTCGTATATAAATTCTGAATTCCTATGGGATTGCAACCAAGTTGTGCTTCCTTATAACTAAGGAAAATGCCGAAGGCATCTGGCAATGAAGGTTTAAAATGAATTTTATAATTGCCTCAGGAAACAATGCAGGAGGCTCAGAGAAAAGTAGTGCACAGGGACCAGAGCAGGAGAGCCCAGGAAAGAATCAGTTAATCTCTTTGCAGAGTTAGTCTCGTGGAAACCTACAGCAATCTTTTTACCCTGTGCTGAAGGGGAATTTAGAAAAAGTCCCAGTCATGACGAATGATGGAATAAGCACAGATCTATCATTTGAGCAATGAGCTGGGTTTCTCTGTGCTTTCTTTTCATTCGGCTGCTCTTCCTCATTTTTGTCTTTCTCAGCACCTCCCCTCCAAAATCCTGCAGTTTTCCTGTCCCAGAAATGAGATCTTTTCCTTTATTTCAGCTACAAGACTCCAGCAAAACCTGATGGTGTTAACTATATCCGGACAGATGATGAGGTAACAAATGATTTGCATTTAACATCTCACTGTTTAGGAGAGGAAGAGGGTGGGCAGAGGACTACTAGCTTTTTTAGGGCCTACTTAGAGTGGGCACCGCTCAGAAGCAAGAATGTAGAACAGAGAGAAAACAGAAGGGTGAAGGCTGAGTCATTTCCTTAGAAATGATGAACAGTTTAAGTTGCCTTACGTGACTGATGCCAAAAGCTATCAAATGCTGCTCTACTCTGACGCAGTTATCTTATGGCTTGACCCCCTTAGGATGAGTTTCATTGGATTAAGTGGGCAGGCCATGATGCTTTTACAAGAGAATTTGCATTTTGGGATTTGAATAGATCACTAAGCTTAAAGATCAGAAAAAGCCTCTCCCTGTTAGCAGAGATGCTGAAGAGGGAATGGGAAGGTCCCCTGCCATGCCTTGGTGCATGAGGAGGACAGCAGGAGAAGGAGCACCTGGCCAGTATGACTGGCGTCTCCCTCTCCTTACCAGATGGAAGGGGGTGCTACCTAGACCGAATGCCAGAAGTTACACAGATTGGATCTACCTTTCACGGGCATGTTGCGGTTGGGGGAGCAGGAACAAAGAGGTGCCTGGAAAAGCCTTCCTACATCCAGAACTGTTTTGTTGCAGGGTGACTTCAGACACAAGTCTTCATTTGTCATATAAGACACCAAAAGAATATTGCAAACCAGCAAAAGCAAGTGTGAAAATACCTCCTCCAGGAACTCAAAGCGAGAGCAAAAGATGAATTAAGTGCGCTTGGAAGAGTTTGGAACACACAAGAACTTGATAGCTAGCTATCTGTATATCTTTTTTTTCTTTGCCAAAGTTTAAAGTAACTTCTCACTGCCCAACTTGCATCTCTCCTGCCTCTGGAGATACCAACAGGATCACCTAAACCTGTCCTTGGACTAAGGAAGCGTTTTAATACTTCCCAAGAGACTGGGCTGTGGAAGTTTGTGGAATTGCCTTCTATTTGTGCGGCAGGGACACAGCCACAATGTGCAAACCAACCAGGGGAACAGCGTTAGGTAAACGTGTAGTAGACATCACTAGTACAAATTACTAGTAGACAAAAAAGGTGCTGATACGGCCATAGACGGACTTCAAAGAATAAGATTTATCCATGCAAGGGGGAGTCTTCCTCTCAGCAGCTTGTTGCCCAGGCCCGGCTGGTGACTTTTACACATTTGTGATTGTCTTGCGCTTTTGACTCTGACTGCTCAGGTGCAGAACGGGATATCTGAATAGCCTACAGTGACAGATACTGATACAGTAAATGCAACTAGTGTTCTCAGCCCTTTTGTAAACTCACTGAATTCTCATTACTCCATTTAACATGAAACACAGGCAGCATCAGGCCAGAAGGATTGCTTCTGTTCACTGCTTTATAGAAAACCCATTGCACGCAGGTAACCCCTCATTCTAATCTGCACAAAGCAGGCTTGCCTCTTGCGTCTTTCGGTGTTTTAAAGAAGCTTATAGTGGAGGCAGAGAACCTAGTGCTAAGACATCCCTTTCAGGAAAATTAAAGCCAAATACTTTCAGGGGCTAAGATTCCCATAAAAGGTACTGAGATGTCTTCAAGCTTTTCTACCTTCTCCATTCATTTTGTAAAATCCCACATTCTAAATTTTTTGCAAAGATATATTTTGATTACTTCAGAAAAGGTAACATTTCTATTTAAAGTGTAAATACATGATGCCAGCAGTGTTTAAGTAATATAGCTTTTTTTTTACTTTTTAAGCTACAGAGAGGAGCTCAAATGTTGCTATATAGTATGGCACTGTCAGAGCATATCAGTATTACTGCAAAGTGTGATAAAAAACTGCAGGTGGAACAGCGTCTCTTTCCTCTTAAGCTAGCTTCAGCAATTTCCTTGTCACAAGAGGTCTTACAGACACAGAACAGAGTCACTCAGGGATAGTTTTTGTAAATTTATGGCAGGAGCTATCAACTTTTTTATATATAAAACTTACTTTTCTTGCCAGTGACCAACACTTTGTTTTTGTTGTTGCAAGAAATATCCAGGGATGGCTGTTGGATTCACTTCCAACAAGGTGACAGAGTGACTTCAATGTCTGCTACCTCTCTGCAAGTTCCCTAAAGCACTAACACAGTGTGACAGCTATGGCAACTTTACAGGTTTAAACTGCATAGCCAAGGCAACTGTTTCTGGAGTTGGGAAAGCAAAAGCTCAATACAAAAGCACTTTTGTAGTGTCAGTTGCAACTTTTCTCTAGATGGTAAAAGAAAAAAAAAACCAAATCTAGTTCTCTTGCCTTTAGAGAGAATAATTGGAAACACGTGTTTCCCAGAAACATGTATGTTGATAGTGTTGAACAGCATTGGGTAATAGAAGACTGCAAGATGTGGATGCAACACTAGAACTGTGCTGTGGTTTAAGAATTTTTTTTAACGTAGCATAATTTAGTGTTCTTGTATTTCCAATATGAATTGAGTTGTCTTAACTTTTCCTGTATACAGTATTTTGGATACTTGACGATTTGGACTGTCAGTGTTATTTTTTAGTGTTCTGCATTAATCTGCTTTGTTTCCTAGGGGCCTCGCTGGACATGCCATTGTGCATTTGTTTTGCCTGAACAAAGTGTTACCACTTCTTCTTTTGCTAATGAAAGTAAAAATAAGGATGGGGCAGCAATAACCATATGTTCTCTGTGTAACTCGGACATTACCACTGCTATCTTGCAATTACATTATGGTTATCTTCTTAAGACATGCTCTTCAACCAAGCCACACAGTACTGTTACCTGGCTGCATGCTGCTTCTAATCATTATGACAGTAGTGAGTGTAACATTCCTTTGCACTTTCTGTATATCCACTACTCCTTTTCTGTGCTGCTTTTAGGATACCTATAATAAGGGAGAGAAAGAAAAGGTTTGAATCAGGGTAGCTGTGGGCACTATGAGAGCACAATCTACAGTCTCACCATGAGCCAAAGGCAGCCTTCGTCTGAAAAGCCAGCAAGCTAAGAATCAAGGCTTATTTTTCAGTTCTAAAATGTGACAGTGGCATCTCTAACGAGGAAAGGGGAGATGATCCCCCTGATACAGCTCATGAGATCTGATTGATGGAATTCATTGTATCATTGTGAATAATATTCAGGTTTGTACTAATGTATTATGTTTAACTTTGCCAAGAATGTTTTACATAAATACCAAGCTATAAAGCATTCTTGTAGGGTTTTTTATTTGGTTTTGAACAGCCATTTATTGGAAGCTTCTGTTTTCAGTTCAGTGAAATAAGGGAAAGTCTGTTCTGCCAGAGCACTCATTTACTTGTATTGGGCTGAAGGTTACAGAAAGTCCAAGGCATGTTGCTGTTTATCAGTTTATTCTTTGATATTTGTCTATCCCTTCTTCTTCTCTAGAGAAGACAGATTAATGCCCACAGGGCTCATCTCAATGCTGCTCGAGGACAGAACAAAAACTAGAAAAGCACAAATTAGGAAATAAACTATTCCAATTTACCATTCAAAGTGATTAAATACTATTTTAAGGGAGAAGGTACAAAATTAATGGATGTGGCCATAATTGACCATCGCTTAAGCCAAAGCCATTCCATACATCCCCTCTTCCCAGGTTTTGACTTTGATTTTGAGAATAAAGTTTAACCTCACTTGAAGGTTTCTTTGATCTTCAAAACAGAATAGGGAAAGTGAGGGCAAATTATGGGATTCCAGTGCAGGAGGTAAGTGCCTCTGGAAGGGCTGTGGCAAAAGCACGCTCAGCCTCTTCGTTTCTACTTGTACAGAAAAGCCTACTCCATTTCTGTTGTTCATGTCTGCATAAGACAAAACAGCATGAATAAAACAGATTCCATTTTCAAGTTTCAATGAAATCTAGGGCAAGAGCTCTGTAATAGAAGTTAACAGTGGAAAAACTACAGTTAGGTTAACACGGCATCAGAGAAACTCAGGAATGGTCAGATTCCAGTATTTACACAGCGCATTTACGATAAACAAGTTATCTGCGCAGAGCACAAAGCTACGCATATCACTTACCAACCTTGATTTTAGTGAGTTACTCATATCCTGCTTGCAGTCAAATAAGAGTCTATATTTAAAAGCTGCTGGGTCCAACATTAATTGAACGGAGTGCCTAAGATACCAGCGACGTAGTTGAAGAGACTTTGAGGCTGTAGAAATCTATAGAAAAAAATAATCTCTCTGTCAGATCAAGAAGAGGAGAGAAGCTGTGGGTGGAATTAATTCTGTAACCATTTATTTTCATAAAATTTTAATAGTTGGAAATAATACAGCTCAAGAATGGAAATATTCCATATAAAAGAACATTAAGGCTGTTCATACACACAGGAGTTTGCACAACAAATAAGAGGTGATGTAGTGTGCTATTACCAGATTTAGGGGTGTGGCAGTGACATGCTGTTTTACCTCTGTTCAATTAAAGCAACTCTAGTATACAACCAAGAAGGACAATGAAGGATCGAGTGAATAAGCTGAGCCACTCACATCCCTGCAAGCTGTGATAAATGCATTTCTTGCTAAGCTTGTGGCAACATTATGCTCTTACTTTTCCAAATGGACAAATTATATATCCTGTGAGTGAAGAGCAAGCCTTCCTTTACACTGCAGCTTTCTAGCACTCCAGTGGGCTTTGTCAACAGCAGCAGCTTATAATACATACATGCGTTAATGCAGGCTTTGTATGCCCATATTCTAGACAGTTTCATGTAAAAACCAAATAAGAATAGATAAGGAAGGAAGGACGTGTGCCCACAATGATTTATAATTACAGAGGAAAAGGAACAGATTTTAGGCAACATGATGATTCTGTACAAAAGTTCAATGAAAGGATCAGTTGTCTGGTTTCAGTGGAGTTCTCCGCTGGGACCGTCTCAGAGGGACACATTGGCTGCTTTTTTTCCTTGCTGGGGATTCTACTTTCCACTCCCGTGGCAGGGATGGGCTAGAAGAAAGAAGGAGAATGACCATTTATTTTAAAGCACTTCACCAATCTTTCTCGCTGCGATTGTTGTTTCAGACCTGCGTTGAACTTACGGTTTCTCTGGTGATGTCAGACAGATAACATCTCTTGGCCCATCCTCAGCCTCTTTCTTCTCTGCAAATAATGCATATATTTTAAAAAATGCCACAGATTTGATCATTTGGGTTTTTCCCCCGCCTCAAGTTAGAATCACAAAGATAACTTGCCTGGAGCTGAACCGGGTGTGTGCGTCAAGCTGATGTAACTGACCCCAGCACCAAAGGTCAAGTCATTAATAGTCTCTGAAAAAAAAGCACATAGTAGTGGTCAGCTTGTGACATAGCCAGAGGGCAAGGCATGCTGTAGTAGAACACTTAAGTGTCACAGAGTAAGTATATCCAGTTAACTGCAAGCACATATACATCTCTCTTTTCCAGCCCAACAGATCTCAGTGTCTCCCGTCCAGCCTCAAAACTATGTGCTGAATCTGATGGGCCATCTGTGCACATCAGCTTCATACTCCAGACTTACAGCCTTTCTTTATGTGGAGGAAATGAATATAAATATGGGACCTCAGTCATGTACCTCCTTGTCCTACCTAGGTGGGAGAGCCACACCTTCCATTGAAGCTTTGCCATCTTTCACAACATGTTAGATTCAGACCAGTTGCTTTGCCTAGTCAAGGCGGAATGCGGGGCCCCTGAAGACTGACAAAGGACCTGAACAGCCCTTCCGTAAGGAACTGCCTGCAGCCAGAAAAGACAAATCGCTTGACAAGGAAGCTAGGTAGAATTTAGCTTGCCTGAATAGGCCATAGTTGTCAGCTGTCTCTTTCCTGTCATTTATCTCAAGAGAGATGTCACAATATTCAGATTTTACTTTATTCAACGCTCTGTTTTATGCTCATGTTTCCCAGAATCTTTCACAAGGAATTAAGGTAGAAAGTGCTTTATAGGGCAGGAGTTGGAAACTCTGCTAAAAGGACTTCTTTCTACAGACTAACTGGGTTTGCTCTTTAACTACTTCCCTGTCCTGGAAGGGAATTGCTGAAGCTTGTAGAGGAAATCCAACTTGATCTATCTATCTGCGTTAGATGGCCTCTGCATCTCTCAAGACTGACCTGCAAGTGTCCTGACTTTGTGCAGTGTGTGCCTTAACAAGTTATCTTGGTTAATGAGAAGTTCATGTGAAAGGAAGGAAGGGAGGAAGGAAAT